TCGTGATTGAAAGTGCCCGAATTCAATTCTCCGGTCAGCATCCGCCACCCATTCAAGATTATCTTTATGCCGGGGGGCGCCAGGTTGTTCTGGATCCCGGCAGTTCCATGTGACGTCTGCCCGGCAGCATCCTTGCTGGTGTGGATGAACATTCATCCAGCGTGGCTTGACTCGATAATGCACGACGGGTTTCCCGTTTCAGGCGATAGCGTAGCCACTAAAATGACTCGTTCAAGATGGATGGAGCCGTCAGAACTTTTCAGCCGCCTCGCCTCCCGTCTTTGTGTTTGACCTTTGCTCGCTGAATGAATTGTCCCACATGGGTCGAGTCTCTCCAGACGGCTTCCTGGCCCTGGGGTCACATGACCGAGGCAATTGAGGACCTCCTCATGGATATGTCTTCAACCATAGGTTGTTAGCCTTAGCTGATTGTCCCCTTAGCATGTGTCCAGATCCATGGGAATAGAAAGTTCCGAATTCCGGGGGCATGCAGCAGGAAATGAAGAAAATAGAAACAACTGCCGTATTGGCTCACATGTGCCGTAACAGATCTCGGGCCATGGGATCAGGTAAGATTGAAATTCCGCTTAAGATTCATAACGCTCCAAATTCTCCACGCATGTCTGTGAAATCCGACCCCGGCGCGAACCCCAAGTTCGCCATGAATTGGGGGTCTGCGTCCATACTATCTGTACAGTCTATTGCAGCTAGCTCATCGAGGATGGCATCGTGGTCAACCATCGAGTCGTGCCCTGGTAGAAGCATGTAATGGGGCATCTGAAGCATCGGGCTCATCATACCAGCAGAGAACCCCGGTATGTGGTTGCTGCCGGGCGTGAATGGGATCGAGCGTGAAGTAGAAGGGCTTGCTGCCGTCCCTCCACCCAAGAAACTGGTTGTAGATGTCGGATAATGTTCCGAAGGTGTAAGCAAGGCGTGATATTGCTGCTGCGGATGTTGAGCCTCCTGACTTTGTTGCGACAGTGTAGCCATGGGCAGACCGTGCCGATGCGCTGGCGAGTGACTTTGGTACAAATCCAGGTTTGGTGCTGGTGGCGCTACAGAAGATGCTTGCGAGGGTTCGGTCGCCCGCTGCCACGTTGCCTTCAGTCTGGTCATAAGGGAGTCCCATCTGTCCTTGTCTTCTCCTCCCAGACCTTTCGTACGTCGGTTTGCCATACCCATAAAGGTGATGAGTAAAGGCGATGTCCCAGGTCCGAGGTGATGCCATGCGTTTTCTATCGCCTCCAAAAGTGTCCAAACTAAAGAGACGCGAGCATCTGGATTTAATGCCAAGGTGGCACCTAAAAAGGTGGCTTGTAGAAGAAAGGCTGCTGGGAGAAAAGGGGTCGATCCTCCCAAAATAGAATTACAGAAAGAGAAGCGTTGATCCAATGCTGCAGCCAGTTCTGCCGAGCGGGGGGTATGTGACCCTGCGAATCCCTTTCCCAGAACACGAGCGAACCGGCAAAGCTGGTTGAAAGAGCTCAGAGACTGAACAGACTGCAAAGAATCACCGGAGCCGATGCTGACCTCGGAGCCAAAACCTGGCTCAGGGGCCCATGGATCCCACTCCTCTGGCCCCTCTTCAGATATTGGGGTCAGACTATCAAGTGAAGCTGGTGTCAGATGTGATGTATGGCCCATACGCACGGATACAATCGTATCCAGTAAGAAACAAGCCCTAACTGTTCTGCTTTGCAAGTGGTTGCTTTGCGGAGTCGCAGATGTAGCCAAGTCTCTAAGTCCCATGGCGGTCCTGACTGCGAGACCAATGTAGAGAGAAGCATTGGACGGCTTGTCCTGGCCGAAATCGACCAAGGAGAGAAGAAGGAATGCGTTTGCATATTGTAAAACCACAAGCTCCTCAGCTGCCTGGTCTTCGCCATCGACAGCTGCCTCTTTGCCGTGTCGTTGGCTCGTCATGCTTGATGTGCGTCCCTTGGGAAGACTTGCTTGCGAATCGCCTATTAATGGAAGCAAGCTTCTTGCTGTGGAATATATGACCGACGGGTTTGTCGTATGACTTGGATCTTGGTATGCAGCAACTGCGAGAGCGCTCCATAGCTCTGCATCTCGAATCTCGTCCGAGTGTTGCGCAGCCACGAGATTGAGCAGCCGGCTCCTGTCGACAATAGGCAACCAGGAATGGGTATAAGCCAGGTAAATATCGAGGAGTCGAGAATGATTATTGGGCAGCTTATAGCTTCGATTTGCCGGGTTCGCCGTAGTATCATTGGTAGATGGCACACTGCGTCCCTTTCCAGAAGACTGACCCAGCTGATCTGCTTCTGTGCTGGACTCATCCTCCTCGGATCCTTCTATCCTGGGGCTCGAGCCATCTCTGCCGGACAAGAGTCGATCAATCTCCTTGCATGTTTTGGACTTTCTCCATCGTCGATGAAGACGGCTACCGGCCTCGCTCTCCTTACCAATGAGGAGGGACTCTGGGCCGGATTCCTGGGCCAGCAGGTCATTCAAGGCAGCCTCAGTGCCGGGGAACTGCTCGAAAACCCAGACGAGAGCCGACTCGAGGGTGCGGATGAGGCCAGTCTGGACGCCTCGCTTCTTGGGTGCGACGTTGTAGGTGCACTCCCGGTTGAGCGAGACGCAGGCGAAGCACTGCGGTTGGATGCCGTCGCACTTCTCTCGCGCGCTGCTGTTTGTCAGCCGGATGTTCGTTCAATATAGGATCCAGGCGCATCATGTTGAGCCCCCCATGTATGGCGTTTTACCCCAAACTGAGGAGTCCGTGACTGGCCTGGCAGCTGTTCAAGGCTCACCTTCTGCACTGATCGCAGGCCCGTGATACTCTCTGCCTCTTCACTGGGCCAGAGGTTGACGTCGGATTGGTTTCGACATCATTGGTCTTTCGCTTGGGAGGCATGCTTCTCGGGGCGGATTGGCGTGCCTCGGGGCCGTCGTCCTCTTTCTACACGCGCTGCCCGGATTGGGGACAACTAGGTGACGCGAAGCATACGGGTAGCTGGCTTCTCTCGTGACCTTTCGTACCATGCAATGATCATGATCGAGGGATCATGTCGCTCGTGCTTGATGTTTGGGATACGATGATGATGGCATGTGCTGCTGTGAAGGTAGTCTGACGTCGGCAAGGAATTGGCAATGCAGCGATTGCGACTCGTCGATCTGGTGAGGAGAAGCTGGAAATCCCTGGCTGGCCGACACCACGTTGCGGGGAGGCGCGATTGTGGGGGAGAGCGGGGGATGATTCTGGGGAAGTTTCAGTGCTGGGATCGCTGGCTGCAGCATGCTACAGTGAGCAAAATACAGGGCCTTCAGGGGGGGCAGCCTCGGTACCTCCGCTGGCGCATCAATCTTGCTGCGTCCCGAGGTATCCTGCTAGTTTTGCCCCTCCCGGATAAACCTTCTTCAGGCTGGGTGCAGGGAGCCTCTCGGCCTGGAATGTCGGCAGTCGAGGCGGCGAGAGGAAAGGCATCCCCCGCCACGGCTTGTCCCACCACCAGGCATCACGACCCTCGATCCGCTCTGCCGCCTTTGCCAAACACCCACCGTCCCGCCAGGCCACCCACCCTTACCCCGACCTTGACACTCCCCACGATTCCACTCCTCGAGTACCGACCACGACCTCCATCAGCTTTGGCCGACGCGCGCGACTCGATGCATCCGTGCCTTCATGCCTCCCACATAGCTGGTCCTCGACCCTCGACATCGTGCGTGCCTCTTCTGCGTTCGCCATGACCATCGCAGGCATCAAGAGGCCACTATCAGCCGTTGAGCTGGATGGCGAACATGGATTACATCGCAAGATCACTCGAGTCAACGGCTACGAGTCGGATGGTATCGGAACTCGATCCGCACCAGAGCGACACAATGGAGGTCATTGTACGATACCTTTCGCGACATCGTCGTCCTCGACGTCGTCTTCCATTGCTGACTCTGCTTTTTCAGCGACCAGCATATCGCGAGACATATCACGAGATATATCCCGAGACTCAACACCTGGTCCTATTCTCCACCGACCTAGCGAGCCACCTGCCTTTCCCGCCGATGTCTCTGTCGTCCTGACTGGCATTCGAGGCTCTGGCAAGTCGACGCTGGCCATCATTGCATCAACGGCCATGAAGAGGAGAGCCCTCGACTGCGAAAAGGCATTTCAACAAGCCACCGGCTCGACCAGTCTGGCTTACAAGAGAGAACATGGACCTGTTGAATGTCACCGTCGCCAGGCCCAAATCCTTCGCGAGGTCCTGACCCAACACGCCAAAGGCTGTCTCATCGTCTGCTCATGGATGGAGCGTGCTGTGCAAAGCCTCCTTCGTGATTTCGCCAGGACGCATCCAGTAGTCCACATTCTCCGGGACGCGAAAGCCATCCAGGAACACCTCAAGATTGACGACGACGACAAAACGCGCAATCTTTTGAACGCCAGCAGCGCCATCTTCCGCAGCTGTAGTAACCTCGAGTTCTTCAACGTATCCGAGTCACCAGTCGAGGCGTCCAAGACGCACTCACCCAGGGGCAGCGTCCCCTCGAACCAAAAGCCACCAGCGCCATACCTGACTTTGAAGCGTGCCGAGCGCCATTTTCTCAAATTCCTCTCACTCGTCATGCCGACTGGTTCCATCCCATTCATCGAGTCTGCCTTTCCTCTGGCCTCCATTCCTACCGAGGATCGACGCTTCACTTATGCCCTCTCCGTGCCTCTCTCGCGATTACTTCGTGACGAGGTCGATATTGAGGATCTAGAGACCGGAGCTGATGCCATTGAAGTTGTGGTAGACGACATTGCTTTGGCGGTGAGCAAGACGGGACAGGCACCAACGCTCGACTCGGAGAAAGCCAATGATATTTCAAGAGTAATCGGCTACATACGAAGAAGCACCGTCATCCCCATCATCTATCATGTTGTTCTGCCAGCAACTACGCTCGACAGCTCGTCCCTTGAAACAGTTTACATGGAATATCTCTTCCACGGTCTGCGACTCGTACCCGAATACCTTACCGTCGATCTGAGGCTGGGCGACTATGAAATGTCTCATGTCGTCGCCTTGAAGAGGAAATCCAAGATCATGGCACACTTTACCTGTGCTGCGGTCAACGGCCCAACATGGCATGATCCTGTCTGGCTCTCACATTACCACCGTGCCCGAAGCCAAGGCTGTGATGTCGTTCGTCTCATCAAGCCAGTGACGACCATCAAGGACAATTTCGACGTCGATCGGTTCAAGGGACAGGTTGAGGCTTTGGATGGTCGCCACATGCCTTTAGTAGCGTACAACTCAGGGCCACGGGGACGACACTCGGCCTGCATGAACCACGTCCTCACAAGTGTTGTTTCGGAGCCTCGACTGAACAATGGTGGTGCACCCGATGATCTGGGCCAGCCTCTTATCACTGCGCAGCAGGCGACTCAGGCACTGTATGGGTCATTCTTGTTCGATCCCATGAAGCTTTATGTCGTCGGTGCCAAGGTTGACTACAGTCTTTCCCCAGCCATGCACAACGCGGCCCTGCAGGCTCTTGGGATCCCCCACGATTACCGCCCTTACTCCACGCCGACACTTCGGGGATTGAAAGACCTGATCGAGGACCCGTCCTTTGCCGGTGCCTCAGTCGGCCTGCCCTTCAAGGTTGAAATCATCACCTTGACGCATTCTCTTAGCCGTCACGCGCGGGCCATCGGTGCGGTCAATACACTAATCCCCGTCCGACGACTGAATCCAGACGGCACGATTCCCGAGGACGAGAAATTGTTCAATTGTCGCAACCGCGCCGGTCCCGTCCGGGCATTGTATGGAGACAACACTGATTGGGTCGGCATCCGGGCCTGTCTTCGCCGTGGACTGTCCCCCGCGAACGCGGTGCGTCCGACTAGCTGTGGCCTCATCATTGGTGCTGGCGGTATGGCAAGAGCGGCCATCTACTCTATGCTGCAGCTTGGTGTGAGGAACATCGTGGTCTGGAATCGTACAATTGCCAATGCGGAGAAGATGGTCAGCCATTACACACAACTCCTCTCTCGTCGCGACCTGCCATTTCTGAGCGCCAGCTCGGAGATCGAAACACGTTTCCACGTCCTTGGAAAGCTCGACGAGCCATGGCCAGCAGAATTCCGGTCGCCAACTCTCATAGTTTCCTGCATCCCGACGCACAGTATCGGCGATGTGCCAGCACCCAATTTCGTGGCACCATCCGCCTGGCTGGAAAGCCCTACAGGCGGTGTCCTTGTCGATCTTGGGTACAAAACACTCGACACGCCCATTCTCGACCAGGTTCGCAAGCTTTCTCACAAGGGCTGGGTTACAATGGATGGCCTCGACCTCCTGCCGGAACAGGGCTTTGCGCAATTTGAGCTCTTCACCGGCCGGCGTGCACCGAGGCGACTTATGCGGCGACATGCTTTGGCGCATACACCGACGAACAGGGCCAGTCGAACCTTGCTCAATTGCAACCCAGGCTGAACAACATTACTGAGCAGGAGCCATGATTGTGTAGTCTTGCATTGGTTCAATCAGTGCATCACGACGAAAACACGTTGAATGGCCCCGCGATGCTAATGTGGCCCAAACGGGCTTATGAGAAGCATTCATCAACCGAATGCAGAAGCGTTCGGCCCTACGTGGAACTGAGGTCAAGCCTTCGCCAAGGCGTCTCGCACCCGGCAAGCCGATGCAGCCGGGTTCGTTCGCCGCTAGGTAGGGCTAGATCCGCTTCCAGACGCGGTCGCGAATAAGCTCGCCACGGCAACAGCGTGCGAGCCCCGAGTGACATCACTTGGCTGCCGATCATCTGCCGACTGCCGTTCGGGTAGATGTTCCTGGGAGAGACCTGACCAATCTGCCATTGATGTCTTATGTGTTCGACATTCCAGTCGTGCAAAGCGCCGAAGCAGGATATGGCAGAGCCAAGATTTGAGTACAAACAGGCTGTTGTGCTTCGTGACGAGGATCCTGGGGGTTTTCACGTTGTGGCCGTCACCGGGAAGCCGTAGATAGTCTGTCAAGGCAATTTTCCAGATCGAGCGATGAGCTCTGCATATGGTGTCGCCGGTGACGCAGCGGCCCGTTCGTAGTAGCGTAGATGGAGCTCCGGCTACAACGGCAAGGCCTTAGTCTGACACAAAAAAAAATCCCACATCACATACTGGATCATCCGGGGTCTCCAACACATCGTGATGTCAGTGTGGATGCGGCTCATGGCAATCGTGCTGACTATGGGCAATCCGAGAAGATAGCTTTGTAAACGGAAGCACAATGATGTAAATTCAGTCGGCGACGAGCTGGGGGATCGTCACGTCCCTCTTTATATGCTCTTCGTTCCGTGCCGCGTATTGCTCCCCCTCAATGTTTGTCTTTACTTCCCCAGGAGCCCCATTTTCCTTTGAAATAGTCTATCACCCTCTATCAAAGCGTTGTCTGCAGTCCCCCCTAGTCGACAGCCTCGCAAGGTGTTGCTCCCACCATGACAAGAACACACTTCACAGAGGAACCCCCAGAGGTCATACCGCAAGCCAGCCTGGACCGCGCGTTTACACAAAATGCAGACGGCGCAGTCTCGGAGAAGCCGGATGAGCGAAATAGCCACAGCACAAGCGATAATGACCAGGCCGGCACCGCCGGCGCGGGGGGCCGCAACGGCAACCTCGAGAAGCTCGGGACGAACGACAAGTACGAAATCACCGAGGACGACTGCTACGAAGAGTTGGGCTACAGCTTCCCAAACTGGAAGAAGTGGTACATCCTCACCGTCATCTTCTGGGTTCAGGTCTCGATGAACTTCAACACATCGCTGTACTCGAACGCCATCCCCGGCATCTCGGAGGAGTTCAACGTCAGCGCGCAGGCGGCACGGTGCGGCGCCATGATCTTCCTCGTGATGTACGCGTTCGGGTGCGAGCTGTGGGCGCCGTGGTCCGAGGAGTTTGGCCGCTGGCCTGTCTTGCAGCTCTCTCTGTTCCTCGTGAACATTTGGCAGCTTCCTGTTGCGCTGGCGCCGAACTTTGCCACCGTCATGGTCGGCAGGGCGCTTGGCGGTCTTTCGTCTGCTGGCGGCTCGGTCACGCTGGGCATGATTGCCGACATGTGGGAGTCTGATACGCAGCAATACGCTGTCGCGTATGTGGTCTTTTCATCCGTAGGCGGTTCCGTACTGGGCCCCATCGTTGGCGGCTTCACCGAGGAGTATCTCCACTGGAGGTGAGTGGGATTTGCAAACTCGTTGCCAGTGAACAGTCGACTGACAGGAACATTCCAGGTGGTCCATCTGGATTCAACTCATCCTCGGCGGCTTCGTCCAAGCTGTTCACTTCTTCACCGTTCCCGAGACACGCACAACCATCATGATGAACCGCATCGCCAAGAAGCGCAGAAAGAACGGAACGCCCACATTTGGGGCCCTGACGAGCTTCGTCTCATTTCTGCGAGCGCTTTTCTGCCAAGGAGATTCTCATCACCTGGACTCGTCCTTTTAAGATGTTTCTAACGGAACCAATCGTTCTCGTCCTTTCACTACTGTCGGGTTTCTCAGACGCTCTGATTTTCATGTTCATCCAGTCCTTTGCGCTGGTATACGATCAGTGGCACTTCAGCACCGTAGCTATTGGTCTGGCATTTATTCCAATCGGTATCGGCTATGTCATCGCCTGGCTGCTCTTCATCCCTGCCATCAAACGAAACATCAAGGAACGCCGCGAGAACCCTAATGATGAGCGCGCGCAGTACGAGTCCCGTCTGTGGTTCCTCTTGTACACCGCTCCTTGCCTTCCAATCGGCCTCATCGGCTTCGCGTGGACGATCCAAGGCCCACCAATTCACTGGATCGGCTCCATGATCTTCGCCGCCATCGTCGGCATTGCGAATTATGCCATTTACATGGCCACTATTGATTACATGATTTGCGCCTACGGACCGTACTCTGCTTCGGCGACGGGCGGCAACGGATGGGCGCGCGACTTCCTCGCCGGTGTCCTGACCGTGCCTGCGACACCCTTCTTCACCAACATTGGCGCGTCGTCCGGGCGCAATCTAGAATACGCCAGCACCATTCTCTTCTGCATCGCACTTCTGCTAGTGCTTGCGGTCTATGTCATCTACTGGAAGGGTCCCACGCTGCGAAAGCGGTCGCCGTTTGCGCAGAAACTGGCCGAGCAACGCGATGATGAAGGCACGCATCAGCGCAGGTTGAGCGTGTACCGTCCGCCTGAGAGGAGGCGAAGTGAGTCTGCCCCCGGGTTGCCATTATCTTTTTTTCTTGCGCTCTGCTAACATTCACAAGGTTCCGTGGCCACGCATGAAGAGGTTTCCGGAGCTCGGCCTGAGATGGGCACCAGGCGGTACAGTCAGCAGAACCGGTTCTTTGGCGAGAGCCGTGTCACTCCTCGCGGTACGCCCAGAGGAACGCCCTCGGCAAGCCGGGCGAACAGCATTGCCAGGGCTGCGAGGTAGATGATATGCGGCTTCTTCGGCAGCACTGATGATCATTCGATCAGTAGTGTATAATGTCTAGACTGAGTCGAATACGTAATACTAGATTTTGTTCCTTTTTCGAATTGGCCCACTCTCTACCTCTTGTTGTCCTAATGCCTGAACAGTTGCGTACCAAGTGACATGCCCATCCCATGTGTAGAAGCTTTGTTTTCCCATGTGTAGGAGCTTTGTTTCCCATTGCTCCACGTTTGCCAACCACAGCATCCCTTTTTGGACTATCTCCCAGTTACTTCCCTTCACTTGTAATCTTCTGGTACTTTGCTAAGAAGTCAGCGTGCGATTTCCCGACGAGCCCGTCACAATCATCTCGTGGCCCGATTCCAGCTTCGCCGGCACCACTTCCACAAACTCAGCAATGCGCATTGCGCCCGGATTTTTCTCCTTGTTATTATCATCCAAATTTTCCCTTTCACAGTACAAGTCCATCTCCACCATAGGCGGCGCAATCTCAACGACCCGGATGCCTTATCCTGCCTGTCGCAGCTGCGTGTGCAGGTTCATTGACCAAAAGTGCAGTCACCCCTTGATGCCGTTGTAGATAGGGTTGATGGCCTAGAAGGTAATAAAACCGAGCACACTGCTGACGTTGATGATTGCTGCCGCGGGCTTCGACTACAAGTACGAAGGCAGGGCCAGCGCCAGGTGTATCGGCCCGCGGATATTGATTTCAATCTCCTGGTCCGCCTTGGCGAAGAAATTAGCCTACGCTGAGGCCGAGGGTGCGATATTCAGGAGGCGCTGCACGCCGGCGTTCTTGATGATGCAGTCGAGCTCTGGGTAGGGAAAACGAGTCGTTTCACAGCGGGGGGGATGGAGGACGTGTCACCATTTTCGGGTGCAGTCGGCCGTCACCCCGATTCGCCGCACGCTGCCTTGAGTTTGAATCTGTGCGGCCGGCAATGATGACCTTTTTGCCTTGGGAGAGGAAGAATGTGGCGAGGGCTTTGCCGATTACGCCTGCACCGCCAGTAATGAGAGCGCAGGTGATGTCGAGGGGACGCTGCTCAGGAGGCATACCGATGAACTCATATGTGAAGAATTGAATTATTAGCCAGCTTTCTGAGAAGGCTCTTTGATGTTTGACCGAGGTAGACATTCGAATTCGAGGGAGTTGACGTGAAGAAACTACATTGAATGGATTTAGAACCGAATCTAACTGATCCAGTCGTGACGTGTGTCTTCACACTAGAGCTCCATTGACATCATGCTGAAAAGTGCGTCACCCATAATCATAGAATAAAATGGTAGTGTCAGGCTACGTCTTTATCTTGAAAGGATCAATCAATATTTCGGCTCGTTCAGAGATGTAGACGTTGGGTTCCATGGCTTGATTGTAGCTGTCCGGAGTTCCGGCATCACCCCGAATGACAATCGGCTTCGGATAGGGCAATTGGGATCTAGACCCGGTTCCGGGTCCCGGTTCGAAAAATGCGGCTCTCTCGGGCGAAACTTTGAGCCCATCTGCAAAATCGAGTATTCTGGGCACTTTCAATACAAGCACACGACCGACTTGAGCAGCTCTGAGTCCGTACCCTTCAACCGTGCCAAAGATTATCATGCCAAGAAGGCCATTCTCTGGGCACCATCTTGGCTGCATTATTGGCCAGCCCTCCCAAAAGTTGACCCGCTCGGAGGATCCTGCAAAACAAAGCCGTCACACGACCAACGAGGTTGGCCATGCTCCCTCAGATTACCGTTCTCTCATAAAATTCTTCGACTGCTGTTCTATCACTTGTGGGTCATTCGATCAACTTGAGACTGGAATCCTTACTGATCGTGTCGCAGGATCTTTCAGCTGAGCAACAGCTTTGAGCCTCTCATCTCGTCCTCCGTATTCAGCGTCGTCATCGTCTTGGCACCCCCTCATCCAAGATGCCTGAAAAAGCCGAACAGGAATTCGCCGCTTGGGAACTGGCCTTCTTTCGAATCCTCAAGGTCATCTCGAGCTTGCTGCTGAGGTTTATGGAGTCGGCCACTGTCATTGCCATCATCCTGATCCTGATCAAGGTGGGAGGCGTCGTGAAGGAGAAGATCTATGGGCCGACAGGAGAGCAGAAGGTGAAGAAGCAGCAGTGAAAGACTTCGGCAGCGAGACAGGGTCTGACATAGGGACCGATGACCCAGGCGCGTATGGCGGACTGTTTGGCGTCGGCCGAATCAGGTCAGTGGCTTGATGGTGACACGGAGTGCAGTGTGGAGATGAGTCTTGAGATGCAGCTAGCCAAGTGATTTCACCAATATCCCTGTGAAAGTATACCCAGACATTTGACAAAGTTTATGCCTCGAGTAATGGTCTGGTTTCCTACCAAGAATGATTATGCTGTCACCTCAATATAGCAGGCTTCTTGCATCTTACTGCGAAAGTCTTCGCACTTGCCGAGTGGCTGATCCTACACTCATCGTACACCACACTAGAATATGACATGCCCTCTGATACTATCGCCATTTCACAGCCCAAACAACCGGCGGAACCCGACGTTCGAAACGACCCTCGAGCCCCCGCTCAACGTTTGGACACCCTGCCCGCCAGTCGCCAACGGACCATCATACTTGCCCATCGCCATGCCCGTGAGGAACTGTCCCAATGGCTCCGTCGGCGAGTGGAACGACTTGACCACGAGCATGACGGGCGCGAAAAGCACCCACATTGCATTGTACATGAACCCCGGATTCGGAATGTACGGCTTGATGGCGGCGTGCTGCCCCGCATCCACGCCCGCCGGGGGCGCCGACTCGGTCAGGAAGCCTGGGCGCGTCGCGCGCATATCTGACAGGGCCATCTCCGTCTCGCCCTTGACGCGTCCAAATATGGGCGTGAAGCGGCCGGGCGAATGCGTGGCGCCCTCGCCGGAGACGTAAACGAAGCGAAACGGCTCGTCGGCGGAAGCGAGGGACGCGAAGGCTTCGGCGGCGGCGAGGGTGTAGTCTTTGGTGATCTTAACATAGTCTCTGCGATGCCCCCAGGGCCGTCAGACCATGACTCGACGGTACAGGGGGAGGGAGAACGGAGGGAGGGATGCAGGGCCGGGGCAATGTTGCATGGCCGAGGCCACAAACTCACTCTTTGCTAACGAGGTTCTGGCTGATGCCCAGGGCCCAGACGACGCCTTTGGCGCCCCGCAACTTGTTGAGGACCTCTGAGCTGTAGCTATTGAAGTCTTTGTGGATGATCACGTCAATGCGGGGATCCTTGGCATTTTCAGCCATGGCAACTGGGCGGCGCGTGAGGATTGAAATCTTGGTCACGTCCTTCATCTTAATCATGGCGTCCAGAACGCCGGATCCGACGAGGCCTGTTGCCCCTGTGAGGATGAGGTGCATGATGCTTGTTGGCGATTGCGGCTGCGCTTTTTGGTGAAATGCTTGGCGGTTGTCGCTATTTTTCTTTCTACTTGCTCACAACATTTCCTGAGCCAGCAAGTCGGTCGCTGACGGTGGTTTTATTCGTCGCAGCCGCATCACTGAAAACGGCAGTCGGAGTTAGTGATGCGTAATTCCAGTCGCACAGCTCATCCCGCATTAAATCCATCAGCACAACCTTTTTGTAATGCGCGGCACGTCGATGCCTAGTATCAGGGGAAATGCTATTCCTTCGTTCATAGGTCGCCAATTGATGATTTTCCCAGCGCTGCAATTGTTTGTGAAATATCGTCATCTGCATAACAGCGACCCGGAACCAGCGTTCTCGGCCTGCCGAACCGCAGTGCCGACGAAAGGCCATTACAACCCCGGGGACTTTTCTCACCTGAATCTATTCACTGGTGTGGAGACAAAGAATACAGGAGGCATACGAGGCGGGGCAGATTTGAGTTCAACGAGAGGAACGACCAAGTCGTCAGCAATGCCTCGTGATCTTGCGTACATTTGAATGATGTGGGTCAGCAGCACCTCACGTCAGCTCAATACGACTTTGCAAATCATCGAAAACAGACTGATCTGACGAGAAGATTGTCTAAGCCTCAGACATTGCAGGCTGATCACGAGATGTCCGCCAACGTTGATGAGGTTGGCTTCCATTCGCTGTCGTCACCATGTGGCACATTGTCTCCAAGGCTTCGCAACAACACGACTCAGTTTGATGGTCGACGCGACGCGTAGGCACCATGCTAATGAGCTGCAGATTTGCAGAATTCAAACTTTCATGCCCTTGTCTGGCCAGACCATGTCTCCCCATTTCCCCTCCCCCGCAGCACCTCAGGCGGACACGTCCCAGCATGGCCAATCCCCTCACTTCTCATCTCCCTATGGGTGTTCAGTCAAGACTGTGACGATGTGGTGCACGCACTCCATACTCTCCAGGTTCTCCCCCACGCTACGAGCACATGGAGACCACGAAAACGAACCTTAGTTGATGCCGCCACAACTAAGCTTCTCCTCGTTGTGAGGACAAGAGCCTAGGGTCTAGAGCCGTAGGCCTAGGACGACGCCATGGCCTAGGCGATGCCGGCATCAGGCTCTCATCTTCATCCCCATCCAGGCAAGCGCGTCGCTCGGTTCGATGGCTCCATCGACTACAACAGCCACGGTAGCATTGGCGTGGAGTCGCGGGCCACCATGGCGCGGCTCAAGCTCTGGCGCCAGGGACATCCAGCTCAGTAACGGCCCGATGATCAACGCTGCACTAACCATGGCCAGGTCCAGATGGGTGGGTGCATTTCCTCAACAAGACCTGCCATAAGGATGTGGTGGTTTTTCTGCTCGTTCCAGAGCCGCATTGCAAGCTGTGAGCTCACGATAGCTCCCCTCACCTCCAAGCAATGTAGCGAGTGGGCTGGCGGCCGACAGGTTCGAGGCCTCGCCTGTTGAGCTAAGACAGGTTGGGGAATATAGTCATGGCCTGGCTGTTAAGACCTGTTGGTGGGTGAAAACGCCACATTCACAGCAAGCATGGCGGGCGTGGTTTTGCGGCTTTCACAGCACTCCCGTAGCAAGAGCTGTGATTCTGATCGATCTCTATGCGTTGAGATGGTTGAGGATGGCCAACGAAACAAGTTTTCTTCTTCTTCTTCTTCTTCTTCTCGCCCCTCTCCCTTCGCACGCAAGCGAGATCATTCCACGCGCATCACATCACACAAAGGCTATCGCTCCACGTCCTGACTCTCTGTGCATCCACACGTGTCTCCGATGTCACCCCGCGGAGCAGAACTGGAGGTGAGGTCGTCACCGTCTCAGCACCCAACAGGCCTCAACATGGCGACATCGGTCTCAGCGGGCGTCGATGACAGGGCTGGTACCTTGGACGAGATCGCCAGGGACCACATGGTAGCGTCATTCCTTGACCGTTCATGTCGCACTCAGCCAGTCACGTCTCTCGATGATATCTCGAGTGCGGCATTTCCACCTTGACCGGCGTCTCGTCGAGGGCATCGCTCAACTGCCATTCCTCAGCCTCAAGGAGCTCTCTCGGCGAGACCTATGGCACTAGACACAGCTAGCAGGGGGGAAGTATTCTAGCGTTGCTGGCTAACGCTTCCATAGCATTTCCTTGACTGGCGTAGCGTCCGCCGGCACTTGCATACTTGGCAATCTTGGCTACATTCTGCCATGTCCATTGGCTGGAAAGTCTCTGGACGGGCCTGACCGGACCACAAGCGCCAAACGTTTCCACTCCCCCACACACGCGGTGCCGGATTGCAGTGCGTCCCACTTGGGCCCCATGATCATGCCGGTTGGCCGTATGAATGAGCGAAGGTTGCGGCGTGCGCGCAGGGGGGGAAACCTTCCCACCCACCAGTACACGACCACGCTGAACTCTGAGGACGCTGTGAATCCAGGTAGGCTACTTTGGGTCTAGTGCCGGTACAAAGCCCGCGACCCTGGCCATATGGTTTTTGAATAGTCGTTCATCGACAGGTGGGGCGCGATTTCTCTCGCCAGTTCAGAGTTCTGACCCCCCCTCTCCAGCTCCAGCTGCCCCTTGGCCTGCCAAACCCAATCCGGCTTGGGGCCCCTGGGGCGAGTCCGTCCTGGGGCCAGACTCCATTGCATCCCATGGAGTCCCCGGTGCTCTGCGTTTTGGCTGGGACGAGGCTAGTGTGATGCGACCGCTTTAGTCGTTTTTTCTCCAGATGGGGGTGGGTGATTGGGGGTGATTGGGGGGCAAAGGGGGGGTGGGGGGGAGCTGGAGCAAAGCTTGAACCATACCCCAGAGATGGGCCATGTCAGTCAAGCTCAAGTCATTGTCGTCGAGATATAAGATCATTGTGGTGCCAACTCCAGAAGGTCTCTCATTATCCTCATCCTCATCACAATCATCAGCTTCATTGCCTGAGTCTCGAGCTTCCTTTTCTCAGCTCACATTCTCACAAACTCTCTCCACTCATCTCCCTAAACTACACATCAACACCATGCTTGCGCGGAATGCCCTCGGCCGCGCCTCAGTTGACTTGCGGCTACCTCACTGGTCGCGCCCTCATCTTCCCTCTCTCCCTCATCATCTCCCTCTTCTTCCTCTGGGGCTTCTCCTACGGCCTTCTCGATGTCCTTAACAAGCACTTCCAGACCGTCCTCGGCATCACCCGCCTCGAGTCCACCGGCCTCCAGGTCATGTACTTCGGCGGCGGTTACCTTCTCTTCTCTCCCATTGCCGCCGAGTGCCTCAAGCGCCGCGGTTACAAGCAGACCATCCTCATGGGTCTCGGCCTCTACTCTCTAGGCGCCATTCTCTTCTGGCCCGTCGTCGCTACCGCCAAGCCTGAGAACGGCCGCGCTGCCTTTGGCGGCTTCTGTGCCTGCATCCTCGTCATCGCCTGCGGTCTCGCTACCCTCGAGACGGCCGCCAACTCGTACGCCGTCGTCATTGGCAAGCCCGAGTCCGCTTCGGCCCGCCTCCAGTTCTGCCAGTCCTGGAATGGTGTAGCCTCCTTCATCGGTCCCCTCATCGCCTCCAAGTTCTTCTTCTCCGGCGCCAACCAAAACAGCCTTACCAATGTTCAGTTCGTCTACCTCGCCGTCGCCTGCGCCGGTGTCGCGGTCGCCATCATGTTCTTCTTCGCCAAGCTGCCTGAGATCTCCGAGGCTACCATTGAGGAGTCTTCTGATGGACAGGTCAAGGGCTCCATCTGGAAGCAGTACAACATGTGGGCAGCCTTCTTCGCCCAGCTCTGCTACGTCGGTGCCCAGGTTACCAGTAAGTCTCCCAGAGCTCTCTACACTTCCCTCGAAGCTCAACTAACCCGTATGTAGTCGCTACCTTCTTTATTAACTACGCTCACGAGAACGGCGGTTTCACGACCTCCAAGGGCAGCACCATGCTCAGCTACGCCCTCATTACCTTCACCGTTGGCCGCTTCGTCGCCACGGGCATCGCCACCTTCCTGAGCTCCGACTTCATTCTCGTCGTCTACGCCGTCGCGGCCTCGGCTCTGACAGCCTACGTCAGCGTCGGCAAGGGCGGCGGCGCCGTCGGCGCCCTCATCGCCATCTTTCTTCTTCCTCGCCCCCATGTACCCCACCATCTTCACCCTCGGCACCGAGGGTCTCGGCCACCACACCCGCGGGGGGGCCGGCTTCTGGTAATGGGTTTTCTCTGGCGGCGCCTACTTTCCTCTCCCCTTCTGGGGGGGCATTTGCCTATCCTCAGGTACCAAGGATTAGCTACGGGGGGCCCATGATCGG